ATTGTAATATTGCAAACAATCGAAATCGAAATTTTCACAAAACTCGACGTTTTAGACCTCAATGAGTCGGAAAAATAACTTTACAATCTTGTATGTATGTCTGTGTATGTGTGTGTGTATGTGTGTGTCTGTGTTTCTGTGAATACGATAACTTGAGCAACTTTACAGCTAGGTTGATGAAATTACATTTATAGGTATTATATCAAATTTGTAGTTCTATATAAACTTTTCAGCGATTTCCGGTAACCGGAATTGGAACTTGTTCTAATCTCGGTTTTTCAAAAGCCTATAGCTTGAGTACTTTTTCGGATGGAAGTAAAATATCTAATTCTCTGTTTTCTGTCAAATTTGAGTAATTCCCGGTGACCGGAAGTAGTAGGCTACTTTACGCTATTTCAGATTCTTAAAAAAAAAACGCATATGAATTTAAAAAGTACTAATGTTCCGCAGTATTATCCCCGCACCACACCAATCAAGTCCTATTGTTCAAGTGCTATTTATAGAGCAGAAAACATTCAGCTGTAAATATTACTTATGCTTATCATATCAGTTCCGTACACCAGGCTATACATAAAGGAATCGTAGTCCAGAAACGATAATCCGACCCCGGAACATTTTTATTTAAATCATAAAAAAGAGATTCTTTTATTTCAGACGATGAGAGCTTGTCTTGCTTAAAATTTCTGTATTGCGATCATGCATTCAAATTGCTAACAGCTACTTCAATAGATGTTCATTGGGCACGATGTTATTAAAGACAATGTATTTGTCTCCAACACACATACAAATATGCATTGGTTATTTTGATCGAATATGTAGCATGAGTGAAAGTATAGATTTCGGAAGGGAAACTGGTTTAAGTATTACATTTTCTACATAAATTCTATATTTTCTCTATTTCCGATTTCGTCCAGGGTAAGAAAGGCTTTTCGGGACCTCTCCTCCCCCCCCCCATCCCAAAATCCAAGAGATAACTTCTAATGCGCATATAACTTTGCGCACCAAACCGCACTATTAATGAGCGTCCTGCTTCATGAGACAAACGGATATGCGCCACATTCCATTTCTAGAAGCTGTTTTCCTGACTAGATCTGTAAAGAGAACATTGTTCTTTTAATTTCAATTTCTTATAAACAGTTGCTTCACAAAAGCTGCAAAACTGGCATGGTTATCTTTTGTTATGGTATGGTTATCTTTTGTTATGGTATGGTTATCTTTTGTTATGGTATGGTTATCTTTTGTTATGGTATGGTTATCTTTTGTTATATATTTACTGTTTCTTCACTGTTTGATTTAAAATTGTATGAATCCGTCTCGATTTTTTATCCACATGAAACAGGATTAGAAATGGACCCAACACAGAATAGTCTCAAAATCATTCGAAAGGCCCATTAAATATTTATAACAACATGTATGATGGTATAAAAGTAAAATCACGCTATAGCGTCCTTTATTATTCCGGAATTGTACAGCAGTAAAAAAAAAAGTAAAACCATGGCGTAGTCTGCTGAGCCGTTCCGGAAACCACCGAAAATTCTGTAAAATACTGTCTGCTATATCCAGAGGCGTATCCAGGTTTTCGTTGTAGGGGGAGCGAAAAGAGCAAAAAAAGGCGCTGAATTTTTAACACGTTCTATATACGTGTATTTTATATATATATATATATATATATATATATATATATATATATATATATATATATATATATATATATATATATATATAATTACTAATTGTATGTCATTACTTCGCTATGATGTAAAATAAATTGAATGTAGCACTCTGAAGAAATACGAAAAAACACACAATGTAGGCCGACAAAACAAAAATTGTATGAATCTAAAAAAAAAAATATACACAGACTACAACCAAAAACAATGAACGTAACACAATCTGTTTTGTAATTCTTGTAAAAAAATTTCTTACATAATAATTCCTGGGAAATTATTTAAGACAAGTGAAATAGGGGAAATAATCACACTCTTAATATAAATATGTATATATCCACACATTTAATTATAAATGTCAAAACAAATAAATAATTACTTTAGCATATAATGAAATTGTTTAACACTATTTGTGTTTACAAAATGTTTTTGTCTATAATCAGAATTTAATATATTGTCATCATAAATGCTAAAGTATTACAGCATAATGAAAGTTTTTCAAATCAGAGTTGGTATAAAATCATGCTTTTTGAAATAGTACAAAAACTTTCGGAATAATAGCCTACATTTAACTATATATTGGTCTTTTAGCTCAGATTATATATTTTTAATTAACTACTGCTTCTTTGTGTTCTTTAAAGATCATTTTTCTAACACAGTAATAGGTATGGGTTGGATCACTGTATTGATCACACACCTTTTTACTGATAATTGCAAAAACAATATTTACAGAGTTTTACGTTTGAAAAGCTAATTTTCTGGCGGCATGGTACTTTGGTACATCATTACGCGTTTTTCTACATGTACTTAACAAATCAGTTCGGGGTGGGTTTGGGGGGGGGGGGGTTCAACTTCATCCACTACTGTCCGGTCACTTTAGGTCAATTAATCCAGTGTATACCTAGGTGTGACATTAATATCGCTCTACACAATTGTGGTGGTGAGGTGTGTGTGTGTGGGGGGGGGGGGGGGGAGATAACCAACTCAGAGTGAACATAGCGTCAGTTTTTAGATGACTGTTTTAAACATACATATATATTACACAAATATATATTACACAAATATATATTACAGAAATAGATTTAAATAAGTAGCAGTGGTATTATGACAATATTTATTTTTACAGAGGGGTCCATGGGGGAGGGGGTTGTAACTGTTTCATATAATTTGTAATCGTAATCACTATCACCCAAACTGTAAGAATACTACACTTGTCAAAATTTCCCCACCACTGCGCAGTTTGCTCATAAGTAAATTTAAATAGAGATGCCACATCAGTTGTATTTGTTTCTGTATTGTAATTTTTTAAAAATTAATCACACGATTTAAACTGTATATATAAAGTAATTATGTGTGAAGTTTTATGTATAACATTTCTAATTCAATTATTCGTAAGCAAATACATTATACAGTTGCCTTAAACTTAACACCCCTCTTGACAAGTGGTACTACCCGTAGAGGTTTTTTTAAACACTGCAATGCATCGTAATGGTTATTTTTAGAATGGCAAACTGATGCAGCTGTTAATACGTGTTGTAAACGTAGACACAACTAGACTAGTATAATAATGCTTTATTGCTGAATGAAAAGAAATCTTGTGATTTACATAGATGTGCCGACCAAAAATATTTTTTTTAAAAATATCATTGTTTAAAACTTTGAGTTTAAAAAGTTTCCAAAAAGGCGCCACTTTGCTTAAAATGGCCAGAGGGGGAGCGGCCGCTCCCCCTGATCCCCCCCTGCGTACGCTACTGGCTATATCGTGATTTTACCGGTATAAAAATCAAATTAATCTCACGAAATAGCTTCGGAAATTTTCCGGTAACGTTTGTAGAGTTTCGTTAACATTTGTTACTCTCCTAAACCATAGTTGAAATATAGGCCTAAATAAGGTCAAGTGCATTAAATTAATGTTTTAACTTAATTTTAAAGATTAATTGACAGAAATTTAGAAGCAATTTAATTAGTAGATGTAAATATTAATAATAAAGTTGTGTGTAGTAATTGATTTTTTTTTAAAGAAAAAAAACTTGCAGAAGATTTGTGACAACTAGATCTAGAGATCCAAGCCTAGTAAATAAGACGATTACATTTACTGAAGTCGAAAGGAGTAAGAAGGACTAGAACAATGTTTGGTAGTAGCAATAATTAGCACATGCACTTAAAATAATTAGAAATACAAAATTGCAAAACAGTATTTAAAATGCAACTAAAATCAATCTATGCAAATTTTTAAACATTAGGTATTAAAAAAAAAATTGCGCAAAATAAAATATGGTTTACAGTATTTCCAGTGGTTTCCAGAACGGCGTGACAACCTATGCCATGATTTTACTGTTTTTTACTGTAACATTCCGGAATAATTACCGACGCTATATCGTGAAATTATCAAAATAAATATGGTTATAAAAATGAGACAGTATAATGAAAGTGAAACTTCAGGTTATAACTTCACTTAATGAAAATAAAATTAAAATGTAGCCTTAAACTAAAAAAAAAATATTTTCAAGGTCTCTGGATTTGTACCTTTTATAACATTGAATTTGAACATTAATTCTAAATGTATAAGATCTTAATCTCTCAATTCTTTTCAAGCTTACGTTTTTAAATATTTTTTTACGGCCGCTCTGATTGCAAAATCTAAAAATACCATACGCTTTTTATGCATGTCAGCAATAATGATGGAAGGATTCTTGTCGTCTGGTTGCTGTGTATTCGAATCTGTAGATTCAAGTATAGAATATAATAAATGTATGAAGTAGTGGTGTGGGGTCGTCTTTAAATGCGTTTTATATTGAAACACAGAAACATTCAAATAAAAGTAATTAGTTAAAATTAAAGAAAAATCGAAACAAAATAGTTGTCATTTTTTTTCCTTTCGTGAATCTTATAGACTATAATTTTGAGCGGTACATCCCAAATAAATACACCCACTCATTACCATAGGGGTTTGCTAAACAACAATAATTATTGTAGCCCATGTACAAAGCTATGTTCACTGTATGAACCGTGACTTCCTTCCCCGCACTCATGTCACACGCCGTCATTATAAGTCAGCTCATGTCACAAAGCGACATATACTGCGTAATAGAACCATCAGATTGTCAAAACCAAACATCACTCAACATCATTCCACTGACATCACTTAACATCATTAAACAAACATAACTGAAAATCATATACAAACATCACTCAACATTATCCTACAAACTTCACTCAACATCACTTTTTTGACATCACTGAACATCACTCTACAAACATCACTCAACATCATTCCACTGACATCACTGAACATCATTCCTTTGACATCACTGAACATTGTTCCACTTCCAGACGCTTCTATCCCGGCGCCACTTGTTTCTATGGAGGTCCCTCCAGCTAGCTTTAGCCGGACTCTGCTACACCTACACCCTCCTGTTCCTCTATCGCCTACCCCTGACCCATACCGTCGGGCGGAGAATCTTTGATTCGCAGTTTACCCACTTCATCAAGTTAAACATTACACCAAAAACCAAACCCAGGACTTCGCTTGACTTTCCTTTTCGTGAAAACACCAACCAAGAATTATTTAGGATTCTCCAAGCTTTAAATGCTCCTCCGTATATGCCTCTAGTTGAAGCTTTAGAGAGGTATGCATCTGTTGTCAATGATTCAATCATTGAACAAGCTATCCGCTCGGGATTCGGTCTTCAAGAATACACCCGAGATGGGGAAAGCTTTTGGGTAGAAAATGGCGTTGAATATCATCGTTTTCCTTACAAGGAACCCCAAGAAAACAGATACTACAATTCTGAATACGAGGCTTACATTCCTTTCAATGAGACGACATTTTTTGAAGGGGCATCAGCAGATCCAGAATATTCTAAAGGGGGTAGGAAGATCATTCTATGGTGGCAGCAAAAGGTGGCCCAATTAGACTTCCCTGGACTGGCGCTATTAAGGGCGTGTCCGGATTTTCCGTGTGTGGTGACGTCAGACCGGAAGTACACGAATGCCAGCAGTGTGATGCTCGTTGATGGTAAGAAGACCATATTTAATTGAGAGTGTTTGTTTAAGTTGGAAGTGGTTTTGTTTTTTGGGGCCAAGGGAAAAATATATTCAAAGCTGCTAATTCCAGGGGTTCAATGTAGATCGTGTTTTCTTTTTTTTTAAATATGGTTTTATAAATAAAATTAATGTCAATTTAATTTATTTGTTTAGGTTTTCTGAAAGATTTTTAATATAAAACTTGAGGAGCGTTCGCTTCTTTTGAAATGTTTTGCCGCTGTAATAAAAAAATGTAATCAATAAAACAATCTAATTATCCTGCAAACTATGTATACATTTCTCTGGCCACACATAATTCCGTATTTTCATGTTAAGTAATGTCTGCTACAAAAAAACATCTTTTGCAGTCTGCTACACCTAACATCTTGTATCGTCTGTTATACCTAACATTGTCGTCTGCTATACCTAACAACATCTTGTATCGTCTGCTACACCTAACATATTTTGTATCGTCTGCTACATCTAACATCTTGTATCGTCTGCTACACCTAACATATCTTGTATCGTCTGCTACATCTAACATCTTGTATCGTCTGCTACACCTAACATATCTTGTATCGTCTGCTACATCTAACATCTTGTATCGTCTGCTACACCTAACATCTTTTATCGTCTGCTACAACTAACTTCGTAACATTTTGTATCGTCTGCTACAACTAACCCCACCCATTACCCTCCCCAGTCCAATTTGTCCAGCACGAAATGCCCCCGCCCCGCCACGCCCACCAGATATTCGTCCACTACCAAATGGAAGCCCCGTCTCACAACAAATTCTGGTGGTACCATGACCTCTTCCAGACATCCCCCGCCTGGAACTCTGCCTTCAACTGGACCATGTCCTACAGGCGGGACTCGGACATCCCAACTCACTACGGGCTTATCCGGAAAAGGCTGAAACCCAGTGAAAAAAACTACACGGACATTTTATCCGCCAAGACAGGACAAGTGGCGTGGCTTGTCTCGAACTGCAAGTCCAACTCCAAACGTGAAGATTACGTCAGAGTCCTCGGGAGTCACGTGAACGTGGATGTCTACGGGGAGTGTGGTTCCTTCCACTGTACCAGGGAACAAGACCAACTTTGTTTTCAAAAGATCCGGAAAAAATACAAATTTTACCTGGCTTTTGAGAGTAATTTATGCCCGGATTACGTCACGGAAAAACTTTTCCGGTTCTTCGACGCGGATTTTATTATCATCGCCCGCGGGGAGGACTGCTACTCGCGGATTCTTCCCCCTGAAACTTTCCTGAACACGGCGAGGTTTAACTCCCCTGAAGAGCTGGCGGAAACCATTCTGTATCTGGACTCTCACGACGACGCGTACCTGGCCATGTTGAAGGAGAAGGACAAGTACTTCAGCATCTACGAGGACTACCCCCTGCCGGCCGTCCACCCCACATACCTGGAGTACCGGTACGAGGCCGTGCCCATGTGCCGGCTGTGTCAGATGGTCTGGAACTTGAAGAAATATTCGAAGACGATCCCAGACATGAAGGCGTGGTTCAGGAGAGGGGATTTCCGGTGTCACCCACCGGCTGATGTTACTTGAACCGGATGTCTTTTAACTGACCTAAGGAACATGGGCATAAATTAAGTGACCAAAGGAACATGGACATAAATTAAGTGGCCTAGGGAACACGGACATAAATTAACTGACCTAAGCACATGGACATAAATTAACTGACCTAAGGAACATGAACCAAAATTAAGTGGCAACTTTTAGTTACATGAGCGACTAATCCAGTTTTAGAACTGGCCTAAACGTTAACTAATAACACGTAAAAAGTTATCATGTGCATGTTATATAACATGGTGTAGGTGTAATTTGTGTTATATTATATAAGATTTGGGAGTCGGATATAAAGAAATGCAATTAACACAGCCTTTTTTTCTTCATACAAGTATTATGTAATATAAGTTGTCGTGGACTGTGGAAAATATATAAAAATTGTGGGCTAAAGATTGGATAGTAGTGCATTTTTGTGTTGTATAAGTGCAAGATTCCCATATACTATTTTGTTTGTTCCGTTTTGTATTGTATAAGTGCAAGATTTCCATATACTATTTTGTTTGTTCCGTTTTGTGTTGTATAAGTGCAAGATTCCCATATACTATTTTGTTTGTTCCGTTTTGTGTTGTGAAAGGCAAGATATTATTTTTACAAAGTTGAATACAAATACTTTTGTTGTTTAAAATTGATGTGTAATTTATTAGTTATAGTTGGCTTGCTCATGTTTTAAATGTAAACAAAAACCTTATAAACAATGTGAACATTCAAATGTATGGTTCACTGTGAAGCTACTTTAGAGGAACCTAGCTACAAACCTACACTTTTATATTGTGAACTGTTATGTTACTGTTGTATAGTGAATAATATTCACTTAAGTTATATAGAACTTTGTAAACCTCTCCTGAAATAAAAAAAATAAAAATGTAATGCGAGTCAATTTTTTGTTTTGTTGTTATCAAAGCGTCACGCACATCCTGACTCGACTTTTCCGGTATGACTCCTGGTTAGGACGGTAGTCGGAACTCTTCATCGGACTCGGTTTGGGGAGCTCTCTTTATAAAACGAAAAAAAAATATATAGTTTTGTTTTTTTCTTCGCTTTTCAAATTTATAACTATATACTAGTTTATGTTTAATAAGCATTGCTTCGTCTTTCATATTTATAAATAGATAGCTTAGAATATAAACAAGTCTAAAGGGTCCTTTAGAGTCTAGAGACTGAACAAACAGATCAAAGAAACTATTCACAAACTACAAACACGTTCTTCTGTTTTATATCTGAACGGGGTTTTCATTGCTTGTACACAATTGGTTTTTATGTTGTCCCTTTGTTGTCCCATACTGACACCAAGATGGAGTATTTAATCCCTGTAACAATAATGTTAAGGCAGCTTTGTATGGCTCGTCTTGATTGAGGTCCTCGTAACACCTTTGTGTTATCTGACAGACAAGCAACAATGATAATTCATTGCTCTTTTTACAACTATTTTTGTGACAACAACCTTATAAACTTAAATTTTTTATCAAGGCTACTTTTTTTTTTAAATTAAATTTTCTTGTAATACCCCTTTTCATAACTCTTCTTCAAAGTTCTTTACAAAATACGACCCCCCCCCTTAACAGAACAATCAACTGAATTAACTGCAGAAAAGTAAAGACAAATGATAACACTAAATAACGAAATACTGTCCTGTATATGTCGGCTGTGTATGTGTGTGTTGATAGTATTGATATTACATAAATATTTATAACCTAATCAATAGTGTTATCAACACAGACTTGCTGGGTAAATTAGCTAGCTGTGAAATGAATTTTCCAGCTATGAAACATGCATTGAAGATTACACACGTATTGTGAATTAGCCGTTGTCTTGTTGGCCTCAGATAAAACGGAACCCCTCAAGATTTTCGCCCGGTGAAGTGATTTAATCAAGGTGTGGTAATTGGCCCTTGTGTGAGATAGGACCCCCGGACTGACGTACCGCTTGTTTGTAAATTGGTTGTTTTGTGGTCCCGAGAAGAAATGAATGGTCCTAACAGATTGAGATGTACGTGACTGTTCACGTCTCATAACACACTTCTTACAAAACACCAACCACACCATTCTACTCGCCACGCCTACTTATAAAACACCAACCACACCATTCTACTAGCCACGCCTTCTTACAAAACACCAACCACACCATTCTACTTAGGGGTCGTCCATATATGGCGTCACGCTTTTTTGGACGATTTTTACCTCCTCCCCCTCCCCTCTGTCACACATCGTCACAAAAAGCCAGACCCCCCTAAAATGACGTCACACCTCAGCCTACACCCCCTCCCCCTTAAAATTGCAGTTCAATTTCTCTTAAAACATAGACATTTTTTTCCAAAATCTTGTGTGAACTCTGTCAACGGAGTATTTTAATTAATTCCTATTACAAAAACGCGAAATAACGGCTAAAATTCGTTTTCTAACATTGCTTTTTTATAATACAAAAGTGTAACGTCACACCATTTGAAACCACCCCCTCCCCCCTCATTACACACCGTCACAAAACTAAGGACCCCCTCCCCCATACGAGTGTGACGTCATTGATATACGACACCTTATAAAACACGTACCACACATTTTTATCACCACACTACTTATAACAACTTACCACTCAAAATAAAGTTTAAAAAAAATAAAATATCGGAATGACATCATTTCTTTGATTTTCTTTGATTAAGTGAATCTCTTGCTTACATGTACTTAACAAACAATCGAAAAGCTTAATATTTCTTTAAATAAATAAAAAAGGGATAGTTTTCTAAATTCGCCCATCCGATCATTTCAGGTAGCATACAATTAGCAAGAAAAAAACAAACAGAACAAGGCAAATCAAAGACTGAGTTTTAAAACTCCCCAACATACCACCGCAACCATATAAAACAAAAAACGATAAACCAACATCCCCCCTCCCTTCATAGACTATATATAGATGTTCACGATCCTTTACCAGAAATCATTATCGTTGGCGCACAATGTGTTCAACAGATGTCCTCCGTGTAGGGACATAACAATCAATCGCTGAGACGCGACACAAGACGTATTGACAACTATTTCTCTTTGTATAGAAGATCTTCTATCAGCTTCAGTGTACGGTACACAGAGGTTAGTTCTCAATGATGTAAATACAGTCTACTTTGACTATACTGCTTTAAAGGTACAGCTTTTGTGTTTTTAGGAATCTCTGTGTCTGTTAAAAATCTGGATTATGTTTTAGGTTCAGTGGATTTTTGGTTTGTTATTTCTCTAGTAAGTTTATTTGATCTTTAGGTAATATTATATATATATATATATATATATATATATATATATATATATATATATATATATATATATATATATATATATATACGTTTAGTAGATTTAATTGCAGATAAATAGCTTCTACAACATACATTATTATGTTACATGTTAATTGAGCGTAATATAGTATAGTAGGAAAGTGTTGCGATCGTTGGTATATTTTACTTAAAGAGACACAAAAGTTACACTTTGTTTAGAATTTGTTTAGAAAGGGAGAGTAACAGTTGCAATCGAATGACGGTGGGGGCAAAACGTATGCATAGAGTTAACTTCATAATGGTCTTTACACGAGTGCGTTCAGGGGAATGATCTTTATTATAGACTGGTAAATGAACTTTAGTGTGTCGAATGATCTTTTATGAGGACTAGGAAATTATCTGTACCATCAACTAGCGAATTATGGGTACTATAGATCCTACCCAGTATTAAATTGTGTGCTCTCGTAACCCTATACAATATACAACTTACAACAAGTTACGTAAATGCTGACCGACATTTGTCGATTATTCATACCCATGTATTTCTGTTGGTAAATTCACGTGAACACAAATAAATAAAAATGACCTACATCTTATCATTACCTTAACATAGACCTACATCTTATCATTACCTTAACATAGACCTACATATTACCATAACCTAAACTAAGCATTGACCTACATATTACCATAACCTAAACTAAACATAGACCTACATATTATCATTACCTTAACATAGACATACATACTACCATAACCTAAACTAAACATTGACCTACATATTACCATAACCTAAACTAAACATTGACCTACATATTACCATAACCTAAACTAAACATTGACCTACATATTACCAGTGTTTCTTCCAGACTTTTTTCTCCGGGGCGGGGGGGGGGAGGACTTGAAATTTTCGGGGGGAGGGGGGGGGGCGGTAGACTTTCTTCGGGGGGGGGGGGGCGAACACTATTAAAAGTATATATTTTCTATATAAATTATATAAATTTCATTTCGTTCGGGGGGCGGTAAAAAAACTGGAAGAAACTCTGCATCTTACCATAACCTAAACTAAACTTCAATCTGCACCAAGCTATTACCCACATTAACTCGAAAAACTACCTAAAAAGAACTCTAGCCTTAAATGTTTTCCAAGTCAACCGTGACCAGCGTTTAATGCCAGATTTAGTCTAGACCCTCCCTCTCCCATTCAGCTCATTAACTACCTCCTAATGCACATAACCACAACATTGAGATCTCCCACAAGACCGTTAAGGTAAGCTTTATCGAAATTTTTACATTTAAAAAAAGTCGCTACGGGCAAACACGCGAGTATTTCAAGCAACATATTGTGGTAATGTTAAAACATAAAACCTATATCAGGCACGACTCTTTCAAATGTATTTAATCCATGAACACGAACTATTTTTTTTTAGATTTGAAGAAGTTTTAAAGATCTTATAGAGTGCACACAAAAAAAACAGAAAGAGGAAGGGTGAGTGGGTTTTCATTTTGTTATATTGTGTTATACGGCTAGTGTGGGTGGTTTTTCATTGTGTTATACGGCTAGTGTGGGTGGTTTTTCATTTTGTTATATTGTGTTATACGGCTAGTGTGGGTGGTTTTTCATTTTGTTATATTGTGTTATACGGCTAGTGTGGGTGGTTTTTCATTGTGTTATACAATGGCTCCTCGTGATACGAATTTAACTCGTTCTGTAACAATGCTTTATGAAGAATAGTTCGTATTTCAAAGCAATTATCCCCATTATCCCAGCTCACAAAATGCAACCCCTGAAGTTTTTGCTACGAATTTATAATAAGAAAAATGTATTTATAAATAACAAATATTGTACCTAACCAATAAAGGAGAATGTAAAAATATAAACTTGTATTATAAAGTGTATATTCTTAAGAAATCAGCTGACTTGAGCTTACTGAAGATGTTGGTGTAGGTGTAGGGTGGAGGAACATTACTTCGTTCACTTACTCTCTACACTGTCGAGGCTAAACTCTTTCGGGCACTTGATTCACTTAGTCGCTTTACTTTTATAGCTACACGTTATCACTAAACTTCACGGAACGCTAACTAGATTTCACTGAACATCGTTGAACTTAAATGCTACCGAATAATTTATTTTTACTTTCTTTACATTTTCCTGACTTCTTTTCTCTTTATTTGTCTCTTCCTTTTTTTCGTCACGTTTTACTCACTTTCACATGAAGGTCGCTTAAAACAAAACCTATGTCGTCGTCTTCCCCCCCCCCCCTTTTTCACCTTTCAAAATGTTGCGGGAATGAGACAAATGTCATTACATTGCTACGATGCACGGTTGCAACTTTTTCGGGGTGTTTTGTTTTCCCATGAACTGTAAACCCCGTGGATTACGGTTGCTCGTATCTTAAATTTTGCTCGTAACTCAAAGCAGAAAATAAAATCGCTCTCTAAGCTGTTCGTATCGTTAAAAAAAACTAGTATATCGAGGTAATCGTATGTCGAGACACTCGTATGTCGAGGTACTCGTATGTCGAGACACTCGTATGTCGAGGTACCAGTGTATTGTGTTATCTCGGGGAGGGTGCTGGATCCAAAGTTTCTTCCAGGCATCTCTTCGCCCCCCCCCCCCCTCCCGAACGAAATGAAATTTATATAATTTATATAGAAAATGTATACTTTTAACAGTGTCCGCCCCCCCCCCCCCCGAACATTTCAAGTGACCCCCTGGAGAAAAAAGTCTGGAAGAAACACTGGCTGGATCAGACAGGAGTTATAAAACAATGCATTTGATTTCCCTTGATCTTATTTTGTCCAAAATTTCAGCTCTTATAATAATTTCTGGACACACAGACTCCGCTGGCTTAGATATTTCTTAAAACTTAGTGTAGACACGTACGATGTAAACTACAACATTTTTTAGTACCAAATAGTACCGTTGTTTCCAGTGACGGGGTCATTTAACTATTATAATAATATAAAGGATTGCGGTCTATTCAAATGATAAAAATTCTGTCATACATTTTAATGTAACATTACCCCTGCACGATCTCCTAAGGATAGCTTTATACAATTGTACAAAAGAAGCTTTAGTAACAACAAAAAAATGAACACACTTTAGGGAACTTCAGAAGGCAAACGGGGACTTCGTATGGTATGTAGGGTTGGATTCTTGCCTTTTCCAGTTCGATGATCCTATCGTATAGCTCGACGCTGCATAATAGAACTCGTCGGCCCGACTTAGTAGATTCTATGGATAGCCTCCTCTTTGATGAATGTAAAGAGTAGATTAAACATGACAGACCTCGAGTTAAGTTGTTACAGGCTGATGCATGCGTCGACTTAGTGGCGGAACTTATCAAAATAAGGCTCCCCAGCAAAGATGTTCCAGGCCCATATATACATATATATATATATATATATATATATATATATATATATATATATATATATATATATATATATATATATATATATATATATACACACATTCTAAACTATTTCCTAATTTAGCAATTTAATCTATTCATTGCCAAAGATTTCCATTATAAAAAGAACAAAGCAAATAAATTAAGGCGCAAACAGATTTAGCGCCTAAAATGATTTAGCTTAAATTTTTATTTTATTTTATTACTGTCGAAAATCCTTAAAAAAGTGAAAAAAATAATGAAACCTCAAATCTAACTTGTAAGTCAATAGTATATTATTAAATATGGAAGCTTAATGTTTGTAATGGTTGCATGTTTATTTTATCACAATGTTTTTTTTTTGTTTGTTTTTTTTAAGTTAATTTTGAATTAGTTCCTTTTTAATCTCCCTTTGATATGCGTTATTAAAATAATGAGAAGAATAACATTTTCTAAAATGTGCTTAGTACAAAAATATATTACGTTTAAATTATTGATAACAACTAAGACGCCGACAGGGTAGAAAATATAATTTAAAAAAAAAAATAGTCCCTTTTTTTCAAAACTGGCCAACTTTATTTTTCAAGGTCTTTATGTTCAGTTCTCATGCATACATATGTATAGATTGGCATTATGAAAAGGACCCACTGGGGGTAAAACTGAGCCCACGTTATAAAGCGGAGACCACAAAGTCCTTTCCACAAAAAAAACCCAGTTTGTAAAAAAAAAACATTCCATAATTTCCCCCTCTTCGATTAGCTCTATATAAATGAGTCTTATGAGCCCCAATTCAACATTTTGAAGAATGTTATGTTCCTCAATAATCGGCTGTTTTAAAGTGTTTTATGGGCCCGTATTAAACATTTTAAAGGATGTTATGCTCCTCAATAATCGGCTGTTTTAAAGTGTTTTATGGGCCCGTATTAAACATTTTAAAGGATGTTATGCTCCTCAATAATCGGCTGTTTAAAAGTGTTTTATGGGCCCGTATTAAACATTTTGAATGATGTTATGCTCCTCAATAATCGGCTGTTTAAAAGTGTTTTATGGGCCCCTATTAAACATTTTGAATGATGTTTCCTCCATTTCTATTTATACAACAGCAATAAGTTGCGGACGTAGTTTACCTATCTTTCAGACTGCAGCTGATGTAGTGGGTTTTTTTTGTCTACGCTGACAGCCAGTACAATTGACAATAGAATGATTACCATTGCAGTCTGTTGTTTTTTTTCGTGCAAAAAACAAAATCGAGATTTTTACAAATCTCCCAAACAGCCTGAAATTCCCCCCCCCCCCCCCCACTACCTCCAACAAGGCAGGGTTTGGTGGCCTGGTAGTTCTGCCTTTGCATTGAGTGCCGGGTTCGGGACGTTTAGACAATTATTTAACACGTTTTTATTAACTCAGCTTCGCGTTTGTGTGTTTGTTGTTAAAATTGACATCGAAAATTAGCCCACTTCTGATTGCTCTATAGATCTGAA